GTCATATATGTCAAAAGCTTCAAACGACTTCCTCTGAAGAACTGAAAGGTATAGAATCTTAATATTTGGTAGATGGCTTCCTGGGAAAGAGCCAAACAAAGTTTGCGAATGAAAATGACCTTGACTTACTTTCAAGGTCACAGCATTCAAATATTTAAAATATTTGAACTACTTCTGAAGAATTAAAAGGCATAAAATTATAATATTTGGCTGGTGACTTCCTGGGATAGAGCTCACCAAAGTTTGCGAATGAAAATGACCTCAACCTACTAGGTCACAAAGGTCAACAACATTTTAAAGGATTTGTATTTCAGAACTAAAAGGAATGGATTCATAAGATTTGGCTGGTAGCTTTAAGGAATAGAGCTAACCAATTTGAGAAGGAATATAACATTGACCTACTTACAAGGTCACAGGGAAAAAATTTGTCAAGCAACTTCTGAAGAAGAATCAAAAGCATTGAATCTTATAATAATATTTGGCTGGTAGTTTTAACAGATGGAGCCAACAAAGTTTGCGAGGGAAATATTTTTAGTGCAATATAATATTTAATGAGAATATAGGGCTATGACTGCTTAAAATATTCAGGTGAGCAATACAGGCCCTCTTGGGCCTCTTGTTAAATGATCATTTCTTCTGAAGTTTTGAAACAAATTACATTGTAATCATGTTTGACTTTTAATTATCAACGTTTGTGTTGTGTTTCCAAACCTAATATTAGGGGCGTTACCACAAACGTGGTCAAAATTGGGCGACCTATATTCATTTCCTGTTTCAGTAAAGCCTGTGTATGTCCTCTGCATATGGCAATCCCTGCCTTTACCCTCAAGCTCTTTACCCTCAAGCTCTTTACCCTCAAGCTCTATACCCTCGAGCTCTTTACCATAGACCCATCAACCTGTTTATTGTCCGTAGTGGAACATTATTCCTGTCCTCGGCTCCTAAAGATTTAAACATGTACCTGGCACCATTGCAAACAGCATTGACACAGTTATTAAGTTGGGGTCTGTGGTGCCATGGCCCGAGGCAATCTTTCAGAACTGATTTCTTACTTCTCGGATATTGGGGGCGTTCGAGGTTGCCAATCAGTTGGTAACCATGACAGTGGCTGTTTGAAAATGGTTCTTGTGATGGGACAGACATATACCTCTGTTCTGTGATGGGACAGACATATACCTCTGTTCTGACTTGGTAACCTTACATGTAGGCGTCCTCTTTTTGGACAGTCTACCAACCTTTCCAAATGGCTCAGAGGCATTATTTTCCAATATATAGTTGCATTGATTTATGGACCATGCTGTGTTGCAGTTGCCCTTGCATAAATATTAGATAGGAGACTCGCTCTTGGACTTCAGACATTTCTACTCGATTTTAACTGTATTGTTATGCAATAGGTTTTACCCATCAGAAGTTTGTTTTGGTATGCTGTTGAAGTATAATACGTCAAAGAGATTCAATATGACCTCGGACACTTGAATTTTTATAGTTCATGAAAAGCATAACACATGTTCCCTGATTAGGCTTTACCCAGTTTTTAGGTCACCTGAGCTTTAGCTCAAGTGACCTATTGCTATCCATCTTCGTGCGTCGTCCGTTAACATTTTACATTTTCAACTTTAGCTGAAATACTGTGAAAGGGATTTCATTGATACTTCATGGGAATGTTACTGACAACTCCCTGACCAAGTGTTGTAATTTTTCGTTCAATCAAAAATCCAATATGGCCATCACAGCCGCCATTTTGAAAAACTATTTCAAACTTAAAGCCAAGTTCTACTGGTCCAATTTAACTAAAACTTGGTTGGAATGATCGACTCATGGTCCTGACAAAGTGTTGTTATTATTTGGGTTGATCAAAAAACCAATATGGCCGCCACAGCCGCCATTTTGAAAAACTATTTCAAACTTGAAGTTAAGTTCTACTGGGCCTATTTAACTGAAACTTGGTAGGAAAGATCGACTTCTGGTCCTGACAAAGTTTTGTTATTTTTCAGGTAGGTCAGAAATCCAATATGGCCACCAAGGCCGCCATTTTTTAAAAACTGTTTCAAAATAGAAGTAAAGTTCTACTAGGCCGATTTAACTGAAATTTGGTAGGAATGATCGACTTATGGTCCTGGCAAAGTGTATTTTTTTCAGGTTGTTCAAAAATTCCAATACGGCCGCCATGGCTGCCATTTTGGAATAAAACTATTTAAAACTCAAAATCAATTTTAATAGGCCGATTTAACTGAAACTCGTTCTAGGAATGATTAATTCATGGTCCTGAAAAACTTATATAACATTATACTTTTACTCAAATTTTGGAAGGGATGATGGACATCATTATTTCCACTTCATATTTCAACAACAAAAATTAATACTGTAGGACTCAGGTGACCGTTAAGGCCCATGGGCCTCTTGTTGAACAGTACCTCAGGGACATGATCCAGAACAGTACTGTGATTATGCATACTGATAACTGTCACTGAATTTGGTCATATTATCAAATAGTAAAGTTATATGGCCAAAAGACATGTGTTTCTGTTTTTTCTCTGAGGACAGGGATTTTCCTACAATAGAATTTGGGGCCAAATAACGGCCCCTTTCCCCTCGGAAAATCTTACTAAAATTCCCAGTTTGCCATTGAAAAATTCTGAATTGGATGGCCATTTTTGCAAGATTTAAATATGCTCAGTGTGGAGATGGAAGATGTATAAACATTCATTTCCGTAAGAAAAGTAAAAACATATTTTAACTCCTTGAAAATTAAATTTGAAAAGTATTACATCTGAATGTTATAAAGGTATTTCCGTTGCATTGATGTTGTAAAACTTCGCAATTTTTGTCTCACTTGTGTGATTTTAGTTGGAATAAAACAAATTTACAACATGTGTTACTCGAGAAAGTGATACATACCATCAAAGAAGCAATCTTTGTAACTAATTCAGTATCTTTTATTTAACAAAAGAATCTTGGTAAAGAACTGAAGTGTACAGTTGTTACGGCAGTAGCGGATCAACAAAAGCTGATTACACAAAATGTATTGATCCTAGAAAGAAATTAATTGTTTGCACATGGTAACAAGTTGTTTCTTATAATGTACAAACAAACAAAATAACTTCATATACGTATCATGTCCAGAAATCCCGTATTTTATATTTTCTTAATCTGCTCCTCTAGCGATGACCGCCATCTTGGAAAACGGACGGTTTGATGAAGAAATGGATTCTATTAAAATACACACTTACAACCAAATAAATATGCATTTAAATGATGAATTATGGTGTTTTGTTTCAGAATCATGTATTGTTTGGTAATCTTGGATAATGCTTACATGGGTTATTGTGTCGTATCCGATGTGGGATTTTTTGGCTATAACGGATCAGTGTTCATCTGCACACGCGTATGCATTCGCATAGCATCGTTCCACGTGCATTCACGATTTCAAATTTCTACATATGTTTTGAGAGTTGGCACATGTATTGGAGTTATAGTTAAAGTGTATTCGTTGCAAAGGCTTCAATTGATAATTAGATGCGATCAGTTACCTCTGAAAAGTGTGTTTTGAGACATCCCATCTAACTTGAATCGTGAGTGTGAGGCCCGCCAAAGGGCGTGATCCGTTATAGCCGTACTGATCCGCTATAGCCGACAAATCGGTAGGTCTTGTTTTCCTTATTTCGTTGTGTATATTTGATTTTATGAAGATCTTTTGGTATCACTGGAGAGGTAATTAAATGTTTTTTTTCTGAAAATATATGATGTCTTTAAAAAAAGGTTTTGCCAAAATTGTGTGTAGCAATTATATGCAAAGTGATCCGCTACTGCCGTAACAACTGTATCTGTCCAAAAAGTCGGCAGTGTGATAAACATGCTGTCGGCCATGTTTGTTTTCTAATAAGGGAACCAACATCCGCGCACAGAATCCGGAAATGATCAATTTATTTGTCTGTTCAATTTCATTTATTACTGTATTTTCTTTTCTGCTCAAGTGACCTATTCCGATCACTTTCCATCCCTCGTGCATAAACTTTTTACATTTTCAACTTCTGTTCAAGAACCAGTGGATGGAATATTTTCAAACTTGGTCATAATCATCCTTGGTAGATGAGGCTACAAAATTGTAAAATTGGGATTCCTACCCCAATATTTGAAAATCTTCTTCTCCAGACTCAGAGGTACTACAGTCATTTTCTCAGTATGGATGGAAAGATCATCAGGGGCTTTATTTGAATTGCAAATTTCAGGACCCCCAAGCTATCCGTTCTGCCTTGGGGAGGGGGCAAAGTTTACTATAGTTTATATAGGGAAACAACACTTTATGGTATATTTTGACAATTTTATGTAGGAAATTATTCTTACTTGGTTGGAATTCCTGCCCCATCCCCAGGGGCTAGGGCGGGGCCCCAAAGGGAACATTTACCAATATCTTAAACTTCTTATCCTTTGATGACATGACATTAGTATTGTATTTCACTTAGTTTACATGCTGATTTACACTTTACATCTAAACAAAAAACATAAAGCTACCAGTACCTCAGGTGACCGCTAAGGCCCTTGGGCCTCTTGTTTAAATTTAAATAGGTTTAGGTAAATAAATTACTTTAAAGTTAAAATCAAAGTTTTCCTTTTAAAGGAAATGGACAAATATTACAACTACCGTATATAATTATTTGAAATAGTATAATAAAATAGTAAAAATACATTCTGGCTATCAGAATTTTGTACAAGCCTATACTAGATGAACTAGAGTTTAACTGTAAGCTAGACATAAGCTTATGCATTGAAAAATAAATAATAAATTCCAATATCAAAAAATGTAATTTCTCATGATAAGAATTAAAATTTATTAACAGAAACTGGAAAATGTATGAAATTTTATTTCCCCTCATTTTCCCCCAATTTCAAATTTTACTGCATAAAAATTCCCAATTCATTGGACTCTGGACCCGGGGAAAAAATGGTAGGAAAATCCCTGGATGATATGTTGTAGTAAAATCTACTGGTACATGTTTCAGGTGGCTCTACAGAGATGGCCTCCTCCCTCCCAATACCTCCTTCGTCGGCTACGCTCGCAGCAAAATCAACATGGAGGAAGTACAGAAAAGATGCCATCCCTATCTGAAGGTAAGAATTTCATTACCCCTCCAAGATATACCGTTCTCTCCATCCTGCCTTATAAATCTTGTGTACTCAAAAACCAGATACTAGTAACAGATACGGTGCTGTACAGATTTTAATTTGTGTTAGTGCATGTGAAATAAATGAATAATTCTGTTTACTGTTTTCAAAACGGCAAATTGAAAACTTATCAGATATGTTTGAAAGACTTACCAATGACTTACAGATATGATTCTCTTCAAGTGTAGTTAAGCTAAAGATAAGGCATATACAGGCTTACCACGTGTTTCTGTCTATCAATGTCACCAGTAAGTTACAGTTTCTAATGAATTTTAGGGAAATGAAACATGAAAACTAATTAGTTGAAACCAATTTCATGTCTACAGGATATATATCATTTACTACCTGTATCGTGGGAAAATTCTTAAAATTAAATTAAATGATTTCAAAGTAAATTGTAGACTTGATCAATGGCTTGATAGAATGAAAACGTGGCAGATATCAAAGTTGTTTAATTTAGAAGCAGAAAACATGGCTATGTACATTTATATGTATCTCAATGCAAGGACATTTTAGTCTACTGTGCTGGTATGTTAAATTGTCGATGTGATGAATTCAAACTTAGCTTGTTAAGTCAGCGTTACTGCTGCGCTGTGTACCAGATATTAGACATTTGTGAACTGTAATTATGTACGGAGTAGAAAGGACATTCTGTAACAGTCAGTTATTCCGCCTTAAACCAAGATGATAGGATGTCAATGCAGACAAATTATTTCACGCAAAAGAACATGTTTCAGAAAAAATACCCACTTCCTCTTCAGAATTTAATTCATACGGTCATATATACTGGTGGTGTACAGATGTTCTTTATGTAATATAAATTTCACGTTAAAGTTGGTCTCCTTCAAATAGATTGAAATTACTGATGTATGTAAGTGTTTATTGTGTAGAAACCTTGAAAATTCCATCAGTCACTGGAGAATACTTTGTGACAAAGTATAAAAGGGTTTATGACTAAGTAAGACTAGTTTGTATGTTACACCGTCACCAGCCACCATATTTAAACATGTAATCACACAGAGCAGGAAGTGAAGACTTCAGCCAATATCACACTCATTTACACATAGTACATGCAGTGATACAACATTCATTTGAATGTCGTTTATAGAAAAATCGAACAATTGGATTTGGAAAATCAGGATCTGGAAGTCTGAATTTTTAATTAAATTGTCATTTTGGCGTCCATAATGGTTCTAGTGTTAAATTGTCATTTTGGCGTCCATAATGGTTCTAGTGTAAAAAAAATCATCTTTTATTTAGAATATTTTTCTAATGAAAAATAGTTCAGCAGGAAAGGTGGAAAGGAACCAGCTGCACAGTTTGTCAATTAAATACATGTACATGTACTTTAAATACTACACTATCAAATAGGTTACTGATTTGGTGTATAACGTAGTATAGTGACAAATAATGTTTACGATTTCGTCGAATTGTTATACAGGTAAATGATACAAATCACTCACTCAGCGATAGCTTGACAAAAGGTCCGGTTGGTCTTGACATTTTGTAAGATATTGATGTGTACATCGTTTGTGTTTAAAAAAATATTTTGATACTGCACATAAATTTTCCAAACCAATGAATATTATTGAAGATAGCCCATGTTTATAAAATGTATCAATTTCAGGTGCAAGACAGCGAAAAAGACAAACTAGCAGCATTTTTCAAAGCCAATCAGTACATAGCTGGAGATTATGAGAAGGTAGCAAGCTTTGCTGTTCTAAACAAATGTCTGGACCAGAAGAAAAATGCCAACAGAATATTTTATCTGGCTCTACCTCCGTCTGTCTACGAGTCTGTCACCCGCAATATCAAGGCTACCTGTATGGCAAAGGAGTAAGTCTCACATTGAATGTACATGCTCAATTGTGAGTGTAATACACTGAACTGTTTATTGTCATAAGCCTTGAAGTAAATGTTAGTACAATATCAAAACTTGATTTTATACCCTCACCATTTTATGAGGAAGGACAGGGGGCATATAGATTTCTCGATCAGTCCATCAAGCCCTGTTCAGTCACATCCCGATTCATTATCATCTTTCATGTGACTCCATTTATTAACAGATTTCAGTAAAAAAAAAACATTACAAAATATGAGAATACATCAAATGTGGTCATATTTTAGGATTCCAAGGTAAAGACCTAAGTCACTGTTACTATTTAAAGGTGAAACAATGACACTGATTTGAACGGGAATGGTTTCACTCATGTCATATAGACAATTTCTATTTTTTTCAGCCCACTATCATCAGGTCGTGGTTTATTCATGATCAAATTGTCCGTCCTTAAACTGTTTTTGTTTTTGCTATTTCTCAGGAAGTACTGGAGGGATCTTTCTCAAATTTAACATGTAGGCTCCTCTTGATTCCTAGTTGTGAATGTTTGTTATCACTATTCCTCAGGAAGTACTTGAGGGATCTTTTCAAATATGATATGTAATTTTCCCATGGTCTGTAGTTGTGCATGTTTACTTTTGAGACTGATCAGAAAAACAAAATGGCCGACAGGTGGCCATCTTAGATTTCGACATTGAATGTTTGTTATCTCTCTTTCTCTGGAAGGACTGGAGGGATAATTCAAATGTCGTATGTAGGTTCCCCTTAGTCCCTTGTTGTGGCTGTTTACTTTTGAGACTGATTGGATAAACAAAATAGCTGACAGACATCTTGGATTTTGACCGTGACTGTTTCTTATCACTATTTGTCAGGAAGTACTTAGAGTATCTTTCTCCAATTTAATACGTTGGTTACCTTTGGTCCTTTCTTTCTTGTTCAAATGTAATTTTGAGACTGCTTGGATAAACAAAATGGCCGACAGACAGCCATCTTGGATTTTGACTGTGAATGTTTGGTATTCGCCAATTCTCAGGAAGTACTGGAAGAATCTTTCTCAAATTTAATATGTAAGTTCCCCTTTGTCTTTTGGTGTGCATGTCAACTTTTGAGATTGATGGAATAAACAAAATTGTTGACTGGTGGCCAATTTGGATTTTGACAGTTAAAGTTTGTTATTGCTATTTCTCAGAAAGTACTAAAGGGATCTTTCTAAAACTTGATATGTAGGTTTCCCTTGGTCTGCAGTTGTGCATTTTTATTGATCATAAGAATAAGATGGCCATCGGAACTACTTGCAATGATCTGATCTATTTCTTTCACAGTAAGTACTGTACTATGTGAATCAACATACTCACTTTGAAGGTTGTCTTTTATACACACCTGGGTTTGCATTTACTATTTACATGACTTTTTCGAACAGATAAGAGAAAAGAAGAGAAAAGATCGAACTGACAAAGAACTAACAAAGAACTAACAAAGATAATACGATGGTTGGTGCCAAGATCCCTCTTGGGTCTCATTTCCCTGTAAAATATCCTGGTTTTATATAGGCAAAACAAATTTGATCATACCTGGTGATCAAACCTATTCAGATTAAGATGACAGTCTTATGTTTACAGTGGATGCTGGACTCGTGTCGTGATAGAGAAGCCTTTTGGTAAGGACCTAGAAAGCTCCAACAATCTGTCAGAACACCTCAGTGCTTTATTTAAAGAGGAAGAGATGTACAGAATCGATCACTACCTGGGCAAAGAAATGGTGCAGAATCTCATGGTGCTAAGGTAGGTAAAAGGTCAGACATTACCTGTACATGGTGCTAAAATATGTTAAAATTCAGACTTTACCTGTACATGGTGCTACAATATGTTAAAATTCAGACTTTACCTGTACATGGTGCTACAATATGTTAAAATTCAGACTTTACCTGTACATGGTGCTACAATATGTTAAAATTCAGACTTTACCTGTACATGGTGCTACAATATGTTAAAATTCAGACTTTACCTGTACATGGTGCTACAATATGTTAAAATTCAGACTTTACCTGTACATGGTGCTACAATATGTTAAAATTCAGACTTTACCTGTACATGGTGCTACAATATGTTAAAATTCAGACTTTACCTGTACATGGTGCTACAATATGTTAAAATTCAGACTTTACCTGTACATGGTGCTACAATATGTTAAAATTCAGACTTTACCTGTACATGGTGCTACAATATGTTAAAATTCAGACTTTACCTGTACATGGTGCTACAATATGTTAAAATTCAGACTTTACCTGTACATGGTGCAGAATCTCATGGTGCTAGGGTAGGTTAAAGGTCAACCACTATCAGAAGATCATGATGGTTGTTACCATATGGTGTTACGGGAGATATTTTTTTAATAACTTTATGGGGCTATAGCCTGTACATGATCCGCTTTGTAAAAATAAAAATTGGCTGAAAAACTTGCATACATATTGTCAGTTTTGCATCTTTACAATTGAACTTTGCCTGTGTAATAGATCAATGTTAATCCTTTTCCTTTGAGCAGATTTGCCAACAAACTGTTCAGTCATATCTGGAACAGGGACAATATTGCGTCCGTTGTCATCAGCTTTAAGGAGCCATTTGGAACTCAGGGACGAGGCGGCTACTTCGACGAGTTTGGAATTATCAGGTAAACGGGTACTTGGAGTTAAACTGATACTCTGTAAATGATCTCAAACATAAGTTGTGTTTATGTGAAGTGAAGTTGATTCCTCCTTGGTAAATTTGAGGTATTTCTACATGACACGTGGTTATATACTCCCTGACAAATGTGACATGGTATACATTCATAGCTACTCAACATAGCATAAACAGCTCTTAGTTGTGCAAACTTTTAACGGGGTGTTTTTTTCACTCGAAACACTTCACATATTCATTAAATCATTGTATAATGTCCTTATGAGTATAACTGGGAATGGTGAATGTTTGACTGGGCAAGGTTTCCCGGTATCCAGTATGTATATCACTGTACATGTATAATGTCCTTATGAGTATAACTGGGAATGGTGAATGTTTGACTGTGCAAGGTTTCCTGGTATCCAGTATGTGTACCACTGTACATGTACTATGTCCTTATGACTTATAACTGTGAATGGTGAATGTTTGACTTGGCAAGGTTTCCTGGTATCCAGTATGTATACCACTGCTCATTTTAGTCCCCCACTAGTTACCAAAAGGGAACTAAAGGTTTGCGCTTCATCCATCCGTACATTCATCCAACTGATTTCTGTCCTTTCAAAAAAATAATCAGAGGGGCATATTTTCTACGCTATTTTACCTAGAGTAGCCAGATTTGGTATGCAAGTACATCTTGGGATGGGGAAGTGCAGAATATGAGAAGTAGGTCACTGTGACTTACGATTTTACCTTTGACCTCAACCATTGAAAAAGTTTGTCTTAGGAATATGCATTCTGTACTATTTCACTGACATAACCATATTAGGTATGCAGGTGAATCTCACAGTAGTGGAGTGCAGTTGATGAAAGGTAGGTAGGACCCTGTGATGTTGCTTTGACGACTGACCTCATGTAGACACAGAAAAAGTTCAAAGCTAATCTTAAGCTTCTATACTGTTTCTCCTGGAGTAACCAAATTTGGTATGCAACTATATACTGAGATGACAGAATTAACAGCACCAAAAGCAAGTTGCTGTGATCTCTATATTGACCTCTGACCCCAATGATTGAAAAAAATGCTGAATTCTGTATCAGGATACTTTCTTTAAAAGTGTGATACAGAGTTAGGTGTACCGCTCTGTAAATAAAGAATTCATTACCAGTAGGTGACTATGGATTTCCTTGCAATACATTGACTTATAATGTTATAATTTATGGGAAGGGTATGTTCAAATCCCTATTTATAACTTAGGAATTATCAAATATCATGTCCTCTGTCTTACAAGATGGTATTGTAAGATGGTTATATTAACTTCACACAAACATTTTTTGTTTACAGAGATGTTATGCAGAACCACCTTTTACAAATCTTAACTCTGGTTGCCATGGAAAAGCCCCCGACAACAGGCGCTGAAGATATTAGAAATGAGAAGGTAAAAATGTGCCTGTTTTTCAAGTAACCATTTCACCACTGTTAACAATAATGGACTCATCCAGATCAAAGCATTGTAGAGTGTACTAACTTACATAGGGGTGAAAGGATGAAGTATTCAGTTAAATATTTTGAAGCACAACGTTGGCTGGTGTCTGTGTTTCAGGCATCCATATTTAAGGATAAATTTTGATTGGTTTTCTGTTTACATGAAGACATTGAAGGGTAATTTTACCGGTGTGAAACTGTAAGGGACCATGTTTGAAAGGTGTCGTGTGTCAGGTGAATACTTATAGGGGAGGACATTTAACAGGTGTTACTTATGATGAATTTTGACAGGTGTTTTTTGTGTCGGGTGAATACTTATAGGGGACGACATTTAACAGGTGTTACTTATGATGAATTTCGACAGGTGTTTTTTGTGTCGGGGGAATACTTATAGGGGACGACATTTAACGGGTGTTACTTGTGATGAATTTTGACAGGTGTTTTTTGTGTCGGGGGGATACTTATAGGGGACGCCATTTAACAGGTGTTACTTATGATGAATTTCGACAGGTGTTTTTTGTGTCGGGTGAATACTTATAGGGGACGACATTTAACTGTGGTGACTTATGGTGAATTTTGACAGGTGTTTTTTGTGTCGGGGGAATTCTTATACAGGTGTTTTTTGTGTCGGGGGGATACTTATAGGGGACGCCATTTAACAGGTGTTACTTATGATAAATTTTGACAGGTGTTTTTTGTGTCGGGTGAATACTTATAGGGGGCGACATTTAACAGGGGTTACTTATGATGAATTTTGACAGGTGTTTTTTGTGTCTGGTTAATACTTATACAGGTGTTTTTTGTGTCGGGGGAATACTTATAGGGGACGACATTTAACGGGGGTTACTTATGGTGAATTTTGACAGGTGTTTTTTGTGTCGGGGGGATACTTATACAGGTGTTTTTTGTGTCGGGTGAATACTTATAGGGGACGACATTTAACGGGGGTTACTTATGGTGAATTTTGACAGGTGTTTTTTGTGTCGGGTGAATACTTATAGGGGACGACATTTAACTGTGGTGACTTATGGTGAATTTTGACAGGTGTTTTTTGTGTCGGGGGGATACTTATACAGGTGTTTTTTTTGTCGGGTGAATACTTGTAAGGATAGACTATGCTGATGTATACCTTCTGGTGTATTACAGGTCAAGGTACTGAAGAGCATACAACCGATAGAACTGGAGCATATCGTGTTGGGCCAATATGTCGGTAATCCTGAGGGCACGGGCGACGAGAAGGTTGGATACTTAGAGGACCCGACTGTTCCAAAAGGTGCATTCTCATAAATCTCTTGTTCATTATATTTATAAAACAGTTCGATAAAGTTTCCAGTTTGTTCTCTGCTAATGTTGACAGTGTGATTGTTCCAGAAGTATCGTATGTTAAGGTTTTGTATACCTTCTGTACTAATGCCTTTGTCTCTCTAGGCTCGGCTACCCCCACCTTTGCCACAGCCGCTTTGTTTGTGAAGAATGAACGTTGGGAAGGGGTGCCCTTCTTCCTGAGGTGTGGAAAGGGTAAGTGCATGTCAAAGTACAATATATATCTTAGTAGGAGGGGTGCCCTTCTTTCTGAGGTTTGGAAAGGGTAAGTTCATGTCAAAATACAATATATATCTGTAGGAGGGGTGCCCTTCTTCCTGAGGTGTGGAGAGGGTAAGTGCATGTCAAAGTACAATATATATCTGAGTAGGAGGGGGGGCCCTTTTTCCTGAGGTGTGGAAAGGGTAAGTGCATGTCAAAGTACAATATATATCTTAGTAGGAAAGGTGCCCTTCTTCCTGAGGTGTGGAAAGGGTAAGTGCATGTCAAAGTACAATATATATCTTAGTAGGAGGGGTGCCCTTCTTTCTGAGGTTTGGAAAGGGTAAGTTCATGTCAAAATACAATATATATCTGTAGGAGGGGTGCCCTTCTTCCTGAGGTGTGGAGAGGGTAAGTGCATGTCAAAGTACAATATATATCTGAGTAGGAGGGGTGCCCTTCTTCCTGAGGTGTGGCAAGGGTAAGTGCATGTCAAAGTACAATATATATCTGAGGAGGAGAGGTGCCCTTCTTCCTGAGGTGTGGAAAGGGTAGGTGCATGTCAAAGTACAATATATATCAGAGTAGGAGAGGTGCCCTTCTTCCTGAGGTGCGGAAAGGGTAAGTGCATGTCAAAGTACAATATATATCTTAGTAGGAGGGGTGCCCTTCTTTCTGAGGTTTGGAAAGGGTAGGTTCATGTCAAAATACAATATATATCTGTAGGAGGGGTGCCCTTCTTCCTGAGGTGTGGAGAGGGTAAGTGCATGTCAAAGTACAATATATATCTTAGTAGGAGGGGTGCCCTTCTTTCTGAGGTTTGGAAAGGGTAGGTTCATGTCAAAATACAATATATATCTGTAGGAGGGGTGCCCTTCTTCCTGAGGTGTGGAGAGGGTAAGTGCATGTCAAAGTACAATATATATCTTAGTAGGAAAGGTGCCCTTCTTCCTGAGGTGTGGAAAGGGTAGGTGCATGTCAAAGTACAATATATATCAGAGTAGGAGAGGTGCCCTTCTTCCTGAGGTGCGGAAAGGGTAAGTGCATGTCAAAGTACAATATATATCAGAGTACGAGGGGTTCCCTTCTTCCTGAGGCGTGGAAAGGGTATGTTCATATCAAAATACAATATATATCTTAGTAGGAGGGGTGCCCTTCTTCCTGAGGTGTGGAGAGGGTAAGTGCATGTCAAAGTACAATATATATCAGAGTAGGAGGGGTGCCCTTCTTCCTGAGGTGTGGCAAGGGTAAGTGCATGTCAAAGTACAATATATATCTGAGTAGGAGAGGTGCCCTTTTTCCTGAGGTGTGGAAAGGGTAAGTGCATGTCAAAGTACAATATATATCTGAGGAGGAGGGGTGCCCTTCTTCCTGAGGTGTGGAAAGGGTAAGTGCATGTTAAAGTACAATATATATCTGAGTAGGAGAGGTGCCCTTTTTCCTGAGGTGTGGAAAGGGTAAGTGCATGTCAAAGTACACTATATATCTGAGTAGGAGGGGTGCCCTTCTTCCTGAGGTGCGGAAAGGGTAAGTGCATGTCAAAGTACAATATATATCAGAGTAGGAGGGGTGCCCTTCTTCCTGAGGTGTGGAAAGGGTATGTTCATATCAAAATACAATATATATCTGAGTAGGAAAACAGAAAAAAATCAGATTTTCATACTGAAAAGATAAATGTTGCATCCTTATTGATCATCTTTCCAGGGCACATGATTTTAGTTTAGTCTTTTGCCGGAATACGAAAAGGTGTATGAAATTTCGTAAAGAGGGAAGGTACTTCCCATATACAAATACCTACTAAAAGTTGTCTGCAGTAATTAACATTGATTTCAAAACATTCTTTTGAACTTTAATTCATGAAAATGCTCATAAGATTTCTTAAAATTGCTGATTCTTTAGTGATTATTTCTACATTTTCCTAAGTAAATTTTAAAACCAAGTAGTGTCTGCTGTTAGAAATAATATTGTTCATACACAGGATGTAATACTCATTTTTTTATTATACAAAGTCATTTGAAGCATGACTAATTTCATGATAACATCTTTGGCAGAGTACACAGGACATACAATCCTGACTGAGCAGGGTACACAGTACATACAATCCTGACTGAGCAGGGTACACAGTACATACATCCTGACTGAGCAGGGTATGTGTTGCATACAATCCTGACTGAGCAGGGTACACGTTACATACAATCCTGACTGTGTACCCTGCTCAGTCAGGATTATATGTAACGCGTACCCTGCTCAATCAGGATTGTATGTACTGAGCAGGGTACACAATACATACAATCATGACTGAGCAGGGTACACCGTACATACATCCTGACTGAGGAGGGTATGTGTTGCATACAAACCTGACTGAGCAGGGTACGCGTTACATATAATCCTGACTTAGCAGGGTACACATTACATACAATCCGGACTGAGCAGGGTACGCATTACATACAATCCTGACCGAGCAGGGTACACAGTACTTACAATCCTGACTGAGCAGGGTACACAGTACATACAATCCTGATTGAGCAGGGTACACATTACATACAATCCTGACTGAGCAGAGTACACGTTACATACAATCCTGACTGAGCAGGGTACACGTTACATACAATCCTGACTGAGCAGGGTACGCATTACATACAATCCTGACTGAGCAGGGTACGCATTACATACAATCCTGACTGAGCAGGGTACACGTTACATTCAATCCTGACTGAGAACTGTGTACCATTCCAAAATCCTGTGTAACATAATATTCACTTGTATGTTACTGAATTGTGTTTATGCTAAGCCTACCTTAGATACTTTATACCTGGAACCCTTGGCTCTGTCTAATACTCGTCCTCCAACAGTATAACCAATAAACATCCTTCACAAGTCCTTACTATCACTGCCACAATAAGTATGCCTCATTATGACGTGCAAAATAGGCGGAAGTTAATTTACAGATAAGTTTTCCTGCTAAATAAAATACTGTTATTAAACATTTCTGTTACAGCTCTGAACGAGAGGAAGGCTGAAGTTAGGATTCAGTTCCGTGACATTCCCGGAGACATCTTCCAGCCTGGAGATGTGAAGCGTAATGAGCTTGTGATTCGGGTTCAGCCAAATGAAGCTGTCTATCTAAAGATGATGACCAAATCGCCAGGAATGAGTTTTAAGAGTGAAGAAACTGAACTTGATCTGTCATACAATCATCGCTACCAGGTACGAGTCCTGGCTACCGTAGTTGTGAGGTGTGTTAAAATGGTCATCCTTAAGGTCTGATGATGTAATAGCCCCGAGGTCTGGTGCACTGGTCAGTTGCAAAGTGTGTTATGATTGTCAATTAAATCTGGGGATGGTGTATTGGTCATTCATATGGTCAGTTGTTCTAGCCAATATTTAAGCCTTGTGTTAGGTCAACTGTATTGGTCAGTTTTTGTAAGGTTTGGTGTGGTGGTCAGTCGTAAGGACTGATGTACTGGTCAGTTGTAAGGAGAGGTGAATTGTGGGAGTCTTCATTGTTTAAAAAAATATGGAAACCCGTTAATTTGCTTGTTATTACTCTATAGTTCAGATAGAATTATTAATTACTTCAATGTACATTAACCCACTTCTGTTAAAGTCCTTTTAGTCTCTAGGGATGACACAGCAATATTGGTACATGTGATAGCAAGCATTAAATTTATCTGACCAAAAGGCCCAAAGTACTGAGATGCACCAAGTATGCGTTGCCATTACTTGGAAAGCCAGTTTCATAACCTTTTGTGAAAGCCTATGGCTATCAAAAATAGATGTCAATTTCACTGTTGGAACTTTGGCTTAATGCCAAACTCTGGAAAACAGTGATGTTGTTTGATACATTGATTGCTGTAGATGCTGTGTTTTATTGTTGATGATACATTCGGGGTTTAACTTTCCTTTCTTGATGTCTTGTTTGTTTGGGAAGACTTTCCTATCTTTTATTGTCAATGCCAGATAGCTTTTATCATAAATTATTAATGATTTTATTTCTGTTTCTGTAGAACTTGAAGTTACCGGACGCTTATGAACGCCTGATACTTGACGTATTCTGCGGGTCACAGATTCACTTTGTCAGGTCGGACGAACTCTTTGAAGCTTGGAGGATATTTACACCCCTGCTTCACAAGATAGAGAAGGAAAAGCCGAAACCCATAGAATATGTTTATGGCAGGTGAGTGGCGTTTAAAGTCTGTCCCTGTGTTTTTGTAGTGCTTCTATTATGTTAGTTACTAGATGGTGTTCCTAAGTTTTATAACAATTTAACTCATTCACCCCTAAAATTTCATAATGAAATATTCCAACCTTTGAATTGGAAGAGTTCACATGTATCTTCAGGGGTAAATGAGTTAAATTTTCATTTAACATCTTTTACTTTTCATTTCATCAAAATCTTGAAATGCGTTGATTTATTTTTGGCATGTAATTTTGTCAATGATTTGATTCCTAATGTTAACAAGAATTCACTTTTTCTCAGTTTTATTCCATCTTGATAAAATATATTAAATTTGTTTAATCTGTTGACCAAACTTGGAAAGTCTTGACTCATAAGGTCTATCCGAGGAAATACTAACTACCACCAGCAGATTCCTAATCAGCCAGTTGGTTATCAGACTTGTAGGCAGGTAATTATATGACCATAGACCATTTCAGATCTAAATTGATTTATTAACGAACAGGCTGTTACAGAAACTACTGTAGCAGTGATTGATCAAATATTGTGATAAGATTTAAGAACCATCTGGAAAATGGTTCTAACAAGGATTTTCCTTTTCTTAGGAACTTAATTATTAAAGAGGAAGAATATCCTGATGATTACCTGCTGGTTAAATCCCATATTAATTAGTTAATTCATATAAAAAAAAATAATTCAAATCTTCAGTGCTGCAATGCCATATACTAGCTGTTTCCCATCTACCTGTATCATGTTTCACTCCAGCAAGTAAAACGGCCACGGCCGCCATTTTAAATAACTATTTAAAACTTTAAAGTAAAGTTCTGCAAGGCCGATTGAACTGAAACTTTGTAGGAATGATCGACTCATGCTCCTGACAAAGTGTTGTTATTTTTCGGGTCGATCAGAAATTCAAAATGGCCGACACGGTCGCCATTTTGAAAATATATTTCAAACTTAAAGTCAAGTTCTACTGGGCCGATTGAACTGAAACTTTGAAGAAATGATCGACTAATGGTCCTGACAAAATGTTGTTCTTTTTTGGGTCGATCAGAAATCCAATATGGCCGGCATATGAAAAAACAATTTCAAACTTAAAGTCAAGTTCTGCTGGGCCGATTAAACTGAAACTTGGTAGGAATGATCGACTTATGTTCCTGACAAAGTGTTGTTATTTTTTGGGTCAATCAGAAATCCAATATGGCTGCCACTGCTGCCATTTTGAAAATAGCTATTTCAAACTTAAAAACAAGTTCTAATAGGCCGATTTAATTAACTCGGTCTAGGAATGATCAGCTCATGGTCCTGACAAACTTAACAATTTTTTACTCAAATTGGTACATATTTCAACAACAAAAATAAATACTGTAGGACTCAGGTGACTGTTAAGGCCCATGGGCCTCTTGTTTATTTAAATAGTGTCTAACGATATTTTATATTGCTCAGTAAATAATTTGGATCTCTTAACCCTAAAACAGGTGAGACTGATAACGATTACGTATAAACTGCAAGACTGATGCTAACCGTGTCTTATTAGTAAATACAAATGTTGTTATAAACAGTTTGTTGTGTGACTGATTTTAACATGACAGTGTTATCTTGTTTGTGATCTGACTTCACACTTACTTAATTAATACAACACATCACGAGAATGCATGTAACCGAACAATCGTTTTGCAGGTCTGATAACACGCTACTTATAATACGTACACACAACAAGTAATAATGCACTACAAAATAAGCTTACCTTAATCTTTAAAATATAGTGTTGCTAGTTTTTGCAATAACACAGTTACATGTAACTTGCTAGCTGAACTTTTATTACCCTGCTGCAGGTGGTTTGTCCTCTAATTGATCTGATTTTACCTGCACTATATAATAGTTTCACTTAACACCTTACCAATAAAATGAGCGATACAAGAACTGCAGAGAAAAGCTTCTAATAAGATTGTGCAATGTGAAAAAGAACCTGCTGTTTTGTGTAATTACTAAACATTTCTTTATAGAATTTGACATACAGTTGTCCCCCTTGCCAATTTTGACGGGATGACAGTATAACGGGGTTGGAAGTATAACAGGGATGACCGTATAACGGGGTTGGCAGTATAACAGGGATGACAGTATAACGGGGTTGGCAATACAACAGGGTTACAGTAGGACATCCGAATGTCCAACACAAGAGTGCAGGAAAATGTACAGATACACCTGAAACTAACATATGCATACACATACACATATATTTATTGTGAAACGAATACAGACAGATAATATATATTATTTGTAGCTTTTTAAGCATTAATAAGTTATAAAATACAATTATAATTTATGTTTGTACTACTCACTGATTTGTAACACCATCCAGGATACAGAGAACAGATATTGATGGTCGTTACAGGTTGTTGTCAGGGACAGGTCCCACCTGAGTTAAACATATCCAAAGTGGACTGTTTTATGGGAACCATTTTATCCCTCTGAGTATTTAAACATTCAATGTACGTTCTATTGTGTAATGTTTGATTAGTTTAAGGATCAAGTTTACGCAGCATGGTCAATCGAAATCTGAAATGGACGCCATGATGGAAACTGAGATAGGTCAGAATTCTATATATCGAGGGAATACTGTGTTTGTTTACAATCACGTCACCATCAGACTCCTGTAAAGTAAGCTACAGCCACTATACATGTAGATGAGGTTCTTGTCGCCAACAGACACACGTAAAGTAAGCTACAGCCACTATACATGTAGATGAGGTTCTTGTCACCAACAGACACACGTAAAGTAAGCTACAGCCACTATACATGTAGATGAGGTTCGTGTCACCAACAGACACACGTAAAGTAAGCTACAGCCACTATACATGTAGATGAGGTTCGTGTCACCAACAGACACACGTAAAGTAAGCTACAGCCACTATACATGTAGATGAGGTTCGTGTCACCAACAGACACACGTAAAGTAAGCTACAGCCACTATACATGTAGATGAGGTTCGTGTCACCAACAGACACACGTAAAGTAAGCTACAGCCACTATACATGTAGATGAGGTTCGTGTCACCAACAGACACACGTAAAGTAAGCTACAGCCACTATACATGTAGATGAGGTTCGTGTCACCAACAGACACACGTAAAGTAAGCTACAGCCACTATACATGTAGATGAGGTTCGTGTCACCAACAGACACACGTAAAGTAAGCTACAGCCACTATACATGTAGATGAGGTTCGTGTCACCAACAGACACACGTAAAGTAAGCTACAGCCACTATACATGTAGATGAGGTTCGTGTCACCAACAGACACACGTAAAGTAAGCTACAGCCACTATACATGTAGATGAGGTTCGTGTCACCAACAGACACACGTAAAGTAAGCTACAGCCACTATACATGTAGATGAGGTTCGTGTCACCAACAGACACACGTAAAGTAAGCTACAGCCACTATACATGTAGATGAGGTTCGTGTCACCAACAGACACACGTAAAGTAAGCTACAGCCACTATACATGTAGATGAGGTTCGTGTCACCAACAGACACACGTAAAGTAAGCTACAGCCACTATACATGTAGATGAGGTTCGTGTCACCAACAGACACACGTAAAGTAAGCTACAGCCACTATACATGTAGATGAGGTTCGTGTCACCAACAGACACACGTAAAGTAAGCTACAGCCACTATACATGTAGATGAGGTTCGTGTCACCAACAGACACACGTAAAGTAAGCTACAGCCACTATACATGTAGATGAGGTTCGTGTCACCAACAGACACACGTAAAGTAAGCTACAGCCACTATACATGTAGATGAGGTTCGTGTCACCAACAGACACACGTAAAGTAAGCTACAGCCACTATACATGTAGATGAGGTTCGTGTCACCAACAGACACACGTAAAGTAAGCTACAGCCACTATACATGTAGATGAGGTTCGTGTCACCAACAGACACACGTAAAGTAAGCTACAGCCACTATACATGTAGATGAGGTTCGTGTCACCAACAGACACACGTAAAGTAAGCTACAGCCACTATACATGTAGATGAGGTTCGTGTCACCAACAGACACACGTAAAGTAAGCTACAGCCACTATACATGTAGATGAGGTTCGTGTCACCAACAGACACACGTAAAGTAAGCTACAGCCACTATACATGTAGATGAGGTTCGTGTCACCAACAGACACACGTAAAGTAAGCTACAGCCACTATACATGTAGATGAGGTTCGTGTCACCAACAGACACACGTAAAGTAAGCTACAGCCACTATACATGTAGATGAGGTTCGTGTCACCAACAGACACACGTAAAGTAAGCTACAGCCACTATACATGTAGATGAGGTTCGTGTCACCAACAGACACACGTAAAGTAAGCTACAGCCACTATACATGTAGATGAGGTTCGTGTCACCAACAGACACACGTAAAGTAAGCTACAGCCACTATACATGTAGATGAGGTTCGTGTCACCAACAGACACACGTAAAGTAAGCTACAGCCACTATACATGTAGATGAGGTTCGTGTCACCAACAGACACACGTAAAGTAAGCTACAGCCACTATACATGTAGATGAGGTTCGTGTCACCAACAGACACACGTAAAGTAAGCTACAGCCACTATACATGTAGATGAGGTTCGTGTCACCAACAGACACACGTAAAGTAAGCTACAGCCACTATACATGTAGATGAGGTTCTTGTCACCAACAGACACATGTAAAGTAACCTACAGCCACTATA